TTCTTTGGGATTGGGATGTAGACTGATCTTTTCCAGTCCTCTGGCCACTGTTGAGTTTTCCAAACTTGCTGGCATATTGAATGTAGCATCTTAACAGCATCATCTTTTAAGATTTTAAATAGTTCAACTGGAATGTCATCACCTCCACTGGCCTTGTTGTTAGCCAGGCTTTCTAAGGCCCACTTGACTTCGCTCTCCAGGATGTCTGGCTCAAGGTCAGCAACCACACTATCTGGGTTGTCCGGGATATCCATCTTTTTGGTATAAAGCTAATAAATAATTTGTAAGAATTAACCCTCACCCCAAACTCTGGCAAACACAGTGTTCCTACAGATTTTGGCATGATCTATGTTTGTAACTCTTTTCATTTCTCAGTGGCTATACTTTTGACCCCAAAGACAGTTAGCAAGGTGTCCCAGAGAACCCAGGAAATCCAAGACTGATTCTAACATATATAATGTGAGAACCATGTGGTGATTCTGCCTGTTTCGAGCCTTTTATCATTAATTTATCATTAATTACTTATATTAGGATTGTAAGTAGACAGGTTTGAATCCTTGTATTGTGGACAAGCATGGGCGGAGTGCTAGTGTGATTGGCAGTTGAGTAACCGAATAATGATTCATTAGCATGATTGGAATGTTAGGGGAGTGTGGTCTGTGCCTCAGTTGAGAGACGACAGTTGAGAGAAAGTTAGATATAGTGTCTGTTTTGTATTAGGAAAAAGGAGTTATGGAAAAAATATCTTGTGTGGCATCTGTAGAAACAGCTAATTGTATAGTTAAAATATCACAGAGAACCTGATGAAGAAGTGGGTGAGAATTTTATAGATTATATTGATTATTATTTTTTCACTTCAGTATAGACTATTTGATAAATTATCTTTTCTATCCTGATAACTGTATTTCCACAGTAAACTCCTTCTGTTTGATTCTTGAATAAACTCTCCTCTTAATTTCTTCATAAGCAACCTTTAGTAGTTGGAGAGAACAGAGAGTGTCACAACATCAGCTTAGACAATGTGGTACCAATAGCTGAATAAGAAGACAACAAAGCTTACAAAAATAAACTTTTTCACTTTAAAACTGAATAATATTAATTCCAACTGGGGCTACAAGACATCATCTGGATGGCTGAGATAAAGGGGAAAGTTGTGGCTAGGGTTTTGTGGCTGCTTGGGGATGGTGTAACTCATTCAAGAGTGAAAATAATGCAAAAGGACTCCTCACTGAGTGATCACAGATATGGCCAGGCTAGTAGTTCCATTACTGAAGTACCACAAATAAATCTATGATTTATTCTATGCCAGCCATAGTCACAATCCCCTTGTTAGTTCTCATTTGACATTTATGTATCCATGTGAAAAACCATTTTAATGTGCAATATATGTGTAATCTTGTTCCAAATTCTTATAAATCATAGCAATGGGGAGAAAAACAAGAGAAAATTGTCCCCTTGCTTTTACCAATGCATATCTAAACTTATCTATACTAGGAAAGAAAAGGGGAGAAGCTTACAAATACAAAGAACCTTTAACTCTGAAGTCACATACTAGAGAGAAAGTTCAACTGAACTTTGAAGGATTTATTTCTCAGTAAAGATGCACAGCACTGCGCAATGTCATACACAACCAACATATGCAGAAGTTTATTTTTCTCCCTCCCTCAAAACACTTAACTGACAACCAAGGAGAACAGGAAAGAAAAAATAAAGTCATTTCTAGAACAGTATTATTAAACTCTATCCCAATTTTCTCCCAAAATACGTAATAAATTTATAGAATGCAGCAGAAGATGTAGTGAGGGCCAGTAGTTTTAAAAGTTATTAGACAAATAACTTTTATTAGAAGGTAAAAATCTGTCAGCCATTATTACTATACAGAAATGGGGCAGTGTGTTGCTGAATGCCAGCTGCTTCGTGGCTTGCTTATGAGCTTTCTAGAAGCATCTGCCTGTCCATCAGGCATGGAGTTTGCCCAGCAGAACTTCTCTATGTTCACCCTTTGATTTAGTAATATGGATCTTAGTTCATCTATGCTACAAAACCTATTTTACTGATTTATGTAGTGCGTTTTCAAAAATGTATTATATGTTTTCAAACTGTAATATTGTGGGGATAGAAAAGTAAAAAATGAGACAGAGAGAAAGAGAGCAAAATTTGCTGCAAAACTAGTATCGCCAGTCACAATGTAAGCCACTTACATGTTTGAATATGATTAATTGTACAGTGTGTGACCAAGATAAATGTCATGATCTGCTATTTTTCAACACAAGTAAAAGAAGAAGGCAATGAAGGAAAACAGAAATGTTGTTTATAAAACTGTACAAAGCTCCTCTTGATACACACAAAACACACTGAGAATATAAAGCCTCTGCAATTTACTTTATTGAATACAGTATGAAATCAGACAGCTACAGCCTCAAGCAATCTTTAAAACAGGAAAACCACTTGCATTTCAAGGAAATAAGATATTAAAATTTCTACATTGTAGAAGGTAATAACAACTGCTGATTTCCATGTTCAGCCATGGAAGCAACAATTTCAATATTGCATTCTAGGCATTCAAAAGTCTCATTCAATGGAGACCTATTAGAGGCAGTAAATAGATTTATAACAATGAAAAAGAAATCCTGATATGCTACCCTAATGTATGCACTGTGTCCTTGTAAACAGTCCAGCTTTGCAACTGTTTTGAGTGAAGGCTTATTTTGATAGCTTATTTCCTGTGCTATAGGACCTTTGCATGGAAAGGCAATCACTCAAGAGCAAGTGAGCAGAGTTTGTTAGTTTTGATTCAGTGCAATTAGCTGTCTTAACATTCTCATCCCAGATACATATGCTTAGAAGTCTAGTCCATGAACTATCCAAATGACGCTTTTTTTGACCCTCAGTATAATTACTTATGCATCAACAGGTTTGCTCAGTAGAATTTATAAATTATTCACAAGCAGGCAGGGCTGCTAGAGGGATAAAAAAGGAAATGTTGTTCCAGTTGTATAATATGAATGAAAAGAATGGCTGTTACGTTCTGCGGAGCTATGATTTCCAGTGACAATTTTTTAAAATACAGTATAAATCTATTAACTCAGGGCTAAATACATTGTTACTCATCGACTGAAATCAATGGTTACTTGTAACCATTAAGTGCTATTCATTTCAGCAAGTCTCCTTTAGATAGAACTAAGACTGGACTGAGACCTAGCATGTAGTGGATAGAGTGATGGAATAGTACTTAGGAGAGCTGGATTCAAATTCCTGCTCAACCAAGGAATTAACTGGGGGGGGGTGTGACACTGGTAAACCAGTTCCTGAACTTCTCACATACCCAGAAAACCCTATCAGGGTTTACATAAGTTGGAAGCAACTTGACAACATGCAACAACAAGAAGATCAGTTTTAGCCCTTATTGCAATTAAAATTGCATGAATACATCATATGAAACATCAAACTCATCTTACCATTTAGGTAATTAATCAGTTCCTTACAGAATAGCAGCCTTTCCTATGCCAGTATTTTACATTAGCAAGATATTCATTGTCTGCAATCTCTAAAGGGCTTCACAAAAAGGTTACAGTGCCATGAATACACAGTTGTTACTCAGTTTCTGCATGGGAATCAGATGTGTATTCTTATTTATTTATTGTTTCAACTTATATACTGCCCCATGGTGCTTGGAGCACACTCTTGGCGGTTTACAACATAATTAGGCAAGGAACACTTTGCCCCCAGCAAGCTTCATTTCATTTTCAACCTCAGAAGGATGGAAGGCTGAGTCAACGTGAACCCATTAAAATCAAACTTGGTTAGTGAGCAGAGGCTTGACTGGAATCCTGCAGTTTAACTCTGGGCCATGGGCTCACAATTCTTAGCTTAATCTTTTGCTGTGAGAATACTAGCACGATGCTAGCACTGACACCACAATATTTTTCCACTGTGAATCTTTCTAATGTAATATACCAATTGCTATTATGACTACTATCTGCAATGCAATCATGCAAAACTCATCATGTTTTAGGGGAGGAAAACTGTGAAAACACTGCAAATTAGAAGGACAGACATATTACTACTATAATATTTGAACTAGGAATCAGTAATAATACAATAAGATTTTCTACTGGTTGTTGGAAAATACTATTCAGACATGGCAGATTTTAGATTATGTTTTTAGATGTTTTAGATGTGGCACAGTCCCATCCAATGGTGACTGTGAAAACAAATGGGATGTGCAGGGCAAGGCTCTTCCCATTGGGATTTCCAACCTGTCCTCTTAAATGTACTCTTCTCAAAGTGAGGTTATATACAGTACTGGTATTCAGGAGCTACCACCAAGAGATTGCTCTACACCAATGATTCCCAACCTCAGATAACCTAGGTGTTCTTGGACTGCAGTTCCCAGAAGCCTTCTCCACTAGTTGTGCTGTCCAGGGTTTCTGGGAGTTGAAGTCCAAGAACACCTGGGTTACTCAAGTTTGGGAATCACTGCTCTATACCAATGTTTGGACTATGGAACTTTCAGTCCAAGTTCTCCACCCACCCACCCATCCATCCATCCATGCATCCATGCATCCATCCATCCACCAAACAAACAAACAAAGGGATTGTCTGAACTCACTATTTTCACAGTGACTTACATGTTACACTCTTGTAGCTGAAGGATCAGGACCTTGATTTCAAGCAACTGTGCTCAAGATTTCTTCTTCTTTTTTAAATGAGGCAGAGTAGGTGAAATGTTTATACCTGATATTGATATTCTTTCAAGAATTCCTTCAGTCTCATTGGCAAAGGAAGTGCCTGGATTTCATTTGTGTATCTGTTTATAGTTATTCTACAGTGGTGTTGTAAAGAAGGAGTTGAATGATAAAGAGGTTTATTCAGATAAAGATGGACTGTTCCATTGGAAGGCATTTCAGAGACTGTTCTTCTGTCCTTGCACATAAGAACGTAGTATTCAATCAGATGGACCACACTGTCAAACTGCCGGAGTCTTGATCGAACACAAATAATAGAATCCAGCCTGAATTTACCATCTTGAAATTCAATGCGCAGGTTGGTAGGTCCTGCTGATGTTTTGACAGAAATGGTAAGCAGGTACTCGGAGTGAGAGCTGTCTCTCACCAGAAAAGTCCCTTCAGATGTATCTTGTAATTTCTCCTTGGCTTCTGCAACAGTCATGTTACCCCAGTACCATCCTGATGGAAGGGGAAACAAAATTACCCAAGTATCATAACATGCTAAAAAGTATATATCTAGGGGTAGAATTCTGTTAACAGCAAAGCACATTACGCTACCCAGAAACTGACTACACTATAGAATATTTCTGCGAGCCATTGTAACCGACAAACAGAAGCCTTGAGCTGGTCTGTATGCTCATCTGCTTGGTTTTTTTTAACATTTCGCCATTTAATCCTGGTCCTTTTTGCCTTCATAATATCAATGATTTGTTACTGAAGGTAGAACCGTGGTATGGAGACATTCTAGTAAGGCCTCTTTTTAGAAGCACTGGAGTGGGCAGGCGAAAGGGAGGGGGCTGTAAGAAAGCAAGGCATTGAGATGACTTCTTGTCAACATGAGAGATTCTGGTCAGTTGTTATGCTGAACAAATTAAACCATTCCATTGAAACAACAATTTTGTTTTCCTTATAAAATGTCTTCAGCAACTCTCGATTTCCTGTAAAAGCCTGCCCTATATTTTACCAGCCGTTTTATAAAAGCCACTATTTCCTGGGGGAGGGGAACTGCCCCAAGATTATACAACACGTCCTATACTGCCTAAACCACACGTGATTATATCTCCCGATTTAAAATTTGGGAAGTGACATTACCAAAGCTATGAAGTACAGTATGTTGCGCTTTTAAAGCTTAGAAACACACCGCCGGGACTTTTTTTGTTTGTTTGTTTCCTTCTGATCACTGTACACGTGGAGCAGCTTTCCGACTTTTTCCCTCGATTAACTTGGGAATAATCAGAACGAAAGCCTGAAGAACCTTCCGAACCCAAGGACGATTCTGAAACGCTTCTGCTGCGAAAGCCTGCAGCGAGCAGCACATGCGGTGGTCTACTTTTGCAGGGGTTCTGGGTGCAAATAATTCCTCCTCCCCGCAAAGCGTGGCAACCTCTGAAAAATACCTGCGCGTACATACAAAGAACCCCCTTTCCGCTACAGATCCGCTAGGGCGCCTACAGTATTTACGAGGCGCTTCCTTTCTGGAAGCCGATGTCCTACAAATTTTCTCCGCGCGTGCCCTTTTTCCCGCCTATCATCACTCCCGGGAGTGGCTCACTAATCATGGGTCACTGAAGTGATCACCCCGGTCCCAGAAGCCACCTAACGCCTTCTGTAGTTTAAGCTGCATAGAAATATTAATAAGAAATGCGCGGATAGCTAGCTGCGCTCTCTCTCTCTCGCGCGCGCGACCCCCAGCTCCATAGGATGCAGCGCAGCTTGGGCGTCCCCCCATGCTTCCCTTTCCCTCCCACGCTCGGCCCCGATCTTGGCTTACCTGCGCGTCTTAACTCCCGCATGGCAACGTCCAGGCGCCCCGCTTCGGAAGGCTCCACCGCAGCCCCTCCAGCCTCCCACTGGGGCCCAGCCCTGTCGGTGCCGTCGGAGGATTCGGCCGCGCGCAGGGTCATTTGGGGGCAGAAGGACGGGGGAGCCACCGCGCGAGGAGGCAGCGAAGGGCATGGAGCGCTCGGCTCTCAACGGAGCCGTCGGCGGCGGTCCCAACGCCTCCAGAGCCTGCCCGCCGCAACCTGCAACTCTGGAAGGGGGGGGCGCGGGCGCGCGCAAGAGCTCCGCTCTACATGAAGAGCATCCCCGGGAAAGCACTCTCTTTGTCGCTCTGCACAAAAGCGGTGGAGAAAGGGGCGATTTCCCACCGGTGT